GCAGCTGTATTTTCAGCATCATTACTCCAGTCTTCAGTGTCACATGATCTTCAGAAATCAGTCTAATAAGCTGATTTATTATCAGTGTTAGAAACTGTTGCTGCTTCATATCGTTTTGGAAGCTAAAGTGATACTTTTTTCAGGATTCATTGACGGATAAAAAGTTAAAAAGAAGAGCATTTATTTAAAATAGAAATCTTTTCTAACAATATACACTACAGTTCAAAAATGTGGGGTCAGCAAGTTTTTATTCTTTCTTTTTTTGAAAGAAATTAAAACTTTTATTCCGCGAGGATGTGTTAAATTGTTAAGAAGTGATATCAAAGATTTATATTGTTACAAAATATTTATATTTTGAATAAATGCTATTCATTTTAACTTTTTATTCATCAAAGAATCCTGAAAAAAGTATCACGGTTTCCCAAAAAATATTGTGCAGCACAACTGTAGATAATTCTGATAATAAATCAGCATATTATACTGATTTCTGAAGATCATGTGACACTGAAGACTGGAGTAATTGATGCTGAAAATACAGCTGCACATCACAGAAATACATTATATTTTAAAGGATATTAAAATAGAAACCATTATTTTATATCGTAATAACATTTTGCAAGATTACTGTTTTTTTCCTGTATTTTTGATCAAATAAATGCAGCCTTGAAATGTATTTCTGTGATGCGCAGCTGTATTTTCAGCATCATTACTCCAGTCTTCAGTGTCACATGATCTTCAGAAATCAGTCTAATAAGCTGATTTATTATCAGTGTTAGAAACTGTTGCTGCTTCATATCGTTTTGGAAGCTAAAGTGATACTTTTTCAGGATTCATTGACGGATAAAAAGTTAAAAAGAAGAGCATTTATTTAAAATAGAAATCTTTTCTAACAATATACACTACAGTTCAAAAATGTGGGGTCAGCAAGTTTTTATTCTTTCTTTTTTTGAAAGAAATTAAAACTTTTATTCCGCGAGGATGTGTTAAATTGTTAAGAAGTGATATCAAAGATTTATATTGTTACAAAATATTTATATTTTGAATAAATGCTATTCATTTTAAATTTGGGGTCAGTAAGTTTTTATTTCTTTTTTTGAAAGAAATTAAAACTTTTATTCCGCGAGGATGTGTTAAATTGTTAAGAAGTGATATCAAAGATTTATATTGTTACAAAATATTTATATTTTGAATAAATGCTATTCATTTTAACTTTTTATTCATCAAAGAATCCTGAAAAAAGTATCACGGTTTCCCAAAAAATATTGTGCAGCACAACTGTAGATAATTCTGATAATAAATCAGCATATTATACTGATTTCTGAAGATCATGTGACACTGAAGACTGGAGTAATTGATGCTGAAAATACAGCTGCACATCACAGAAATACATTATATTTTAAAGGATATTAAAATAGAAACCATTATTTTATATCGTAATAACATTTTGCAAGATTACTGTTTTTTTCCTGTATTTTTGATCAAATAAATGCAGCCTTGACGAGCAGAAGAGACTTCTTTAGAAACATTATAAGTCTTACTGATCCCAAACTTTTGACCGGTGTTGAATATATAATTTCCAATGATTCTATGCCTTTAAAACTCTTTAAAACCAAGCAGCAGGCATCCAGTGAAGGCTCATCGATGCCCTCGGTCAGTGCAACTAAAGCAAAGTCATCTGAAGAGAGTAAAGACACACAGGAGGATAAGAGCAGTGTTTGCTGGCGCTGCACAAACGTCTCTTCAGGAGGGTGAGAGGTCTCTGTGTTATATCAGTGCTGGAGTGACCTTGAGTCCCGGTGAAACACCTGCTTTCTCCATTAAATCACAGCGAGCGTCAGTCGGGCGAGAGGGGCGAGGGCTTGGTGTGGGGTCTGATCGTCTCTGTACATCACACCTTTGATTAGAATTAATGAGCTGTCTCAGCTGCTGCAGAGCTCGTTTCCAAACCATTTATCAGTGACCCGCCAGCGCGATCGCCCTCAGTCGGGTCAGAACTCGCCCGTCTCACACCGCAGTCTTTACTGCCCCGTGACGCTCCAGAAACACACATAAAAACACCGGGAACATCATGCACACATGCATCAGGACACATCATACTAATAATGTGCTGCTGTGTTTCTCTAACATTTAACAAAAACTTCAAAATCACCAGTCATATACGAGTAATAAACTCATGACTGAGCTCAAAGAGAAAGACGTTGAACGGAAAAAATGACCATCTATAAACACGGATTATAAACGAGTCTGAGAGTAAACGACGTGAGTAGAGAGCACAACACAGCTTGAAAAAGTTCATTTTCTGTTCAAGAGTCAATGATGATCCTCCTGAGGAGGTCACTCTAAATATTATATGCTTCATTATTATATGAGCTTTATATTCTGCGCACACGCACGCATTATACTGTGTATACAAAAATATGAGAGTCTGAAGAAATTTAATATAACAACAAACAAACAAAAAACACTATGCCATGAGTGAAGGCAAGGAAGAAATAGTAGTAGTATATTTGAAAGGAGATTTGATATTGCATGCTTGTAGGAAGGCAATATTGGGCAGAACTGGTTGGGATATGTGGTTTTGAGTGTGTAAGTGCAGGACAGCAGTAAACATGAGTAGGTGTAACAAATAAGTACTGTAACACTGAAAACAAGAAACATGTATGCCTACGTGAACATTTAAAATACAATTATGACTGTAACATGTTAGTGTTCTGTTTTAATCACAAACATCAGCCTACATGACTGCTTGGTTTCACAATAAAAATTAAATGGTCTCTTAAAAAAATTAAAAATAAAACTTGAATAAAAAATTATATCAAATATCAAGATTTACTGTATATACAAAAAAAAATTATTATAATTTTTTTTTTTTTTTTAAACCAATGCCAGATTTGGTGACAGATGTGGTTGAATTCTGGTTTTGTAGTTACTGATAAACCTGATGAATTAAATTCATTTATGGGCAAAAAAAAAAATCTGAAAGCATAAATATTTTATATTCCTGAGGTACACTGAGGCTTACCTAAGAAGGACAGGTTCCTCTCCCTGAGTTTGTCCCGCAGCAGGTCCTCGTGCTCCAGACCGATGGCACTGCGGGAACACAGTTAGGGACAAACTCCACAGAGCTTTAGTTTGTGCACTTTCTCCTTCTCATTCTCACGGGAGCTGAAGGGATGGTCAACTTTCACAAACCCGTTTCTATAGGTTACCTGCGCTCGGTTGCCATGGAAACACTTTGACAGCTGAGCAGGGTTGCTGTGGCAACAGCAGAGGAATGGGTGTTTGTAGCAGGAGTGAATGTAGCATCACTCAACGCAAAGCCAACATTACAAGGATAGAGGGTTCTGAGGGGTTGCTAGGGTGTTGTTATGGAGTCTGTGTACCCAGGTATAGTACAATAGCATACATAACACATTCAGCCAAAACATAAAGGCGATGAAGTGCCGAGGAGTTGTGCTTGTAGGGCGTAACGCAGGCTGTGCTCAGGTCTGATGGGGGCGGTTCTGCAGGGAGATTCGATGAACCCACGCAGATGTACAGAGTGAATGAATGCTGACGCATGAAAAGAGATGGAGAAAGCGAGAAAGAGTGGAGGGATGGGGATGAGTGACCACAGACAGACAAACACTCTGACCCTTCACCCCCGACTACACACACACACACACACGCACTCACACACACACGCACTCACGCACACACGCACACACGCACGCACACACGCACTCACGCACTCACGCACTCACGCACTCACACACACACACAGAGGAAGTGAGGGCTGTTAGACAGCATGATACAGACAGTGAACACATAGCTGCTTATAGATCTCACACACTCTCACACACACACACACACAAACACACACACACACACACACACACACACACACGCTCCTCCTCAAGCGTAACTTTTATGTCAGGTGCAGCTCAGCACATCTCGTCTCTCTGAATAGCTCCTCGTCAATTTCAGGCTTAAAGTTTTATGGGAAGGATACTGTTTGATGCAGTCGACCAGCGGTCCATAACAGCAGTCATTTACTGTGCACTGAAAAGAGTGAAGAAATATTACAGTCAGGAGGGGACGGCATCCCCCTCAGCATCCATTACAAACACCCATCATGCACTGCAGCACGCCACACATCACCTTATTAGCAGATTATTCAGACTAGTGATGGATTCACACGAGAACATCTGAGAAACTAACACAGAGTCTCCCAGTGTTTCACTGAGCCCTAACTAAAGAGTTTGAGCAGTTTACAGATACAATTAGTATAGACTACTGCAAGAGCACCAAACAATGAAAATGAAAACAGAAAAATTTGGGTTTGTTCCTTGCACAAAAGTATCACATGACTTCAGAAGAGTTTTAGAGCCACTGATCACAGTCTGCTTGCACTGTATAATAAAGAGCAGCGTGAACATTCTGCTAAACATCTTAGATTGTATTCAATGGAAGAATGAGATGATGTCTGCTCAGTGTTGGTACCTGCTCAACGTGCTTCGCTAACAGCAGGTCTGGAATTGAATACGGCTCGCGCAGCATGTTGTTGAGGACGTGTCTGGAAGCTGCTGATGGAGAGAGAAGAGTGAAAAAAACACAACTGCACATTTTCCACTTTACCACACCAACACTTAGAAACGCTATTTTCTTGAAACGACATAAAAACCCTTGTCAGACCAACAAAATTACCCTAAATGTTGTCCTAACTAGTCAAACGCAGTCGTCTGAACAAAGAATTTCACATTGCTTAAATGTATAATAAATGCATTGCAGCATGCATAAATTATGCAGATGTTTACATTTACGCTGGCTAAACAAAGTATCTTTACGGAGAAGAACTAAAAAACTATTTTTAGTTGAGAAAACTCAAAAGTCTTACTGCATCAAGTATCCTTCTTTTTGTGCGTTTTCTCAACTATTTATTTTTTACAGTGCATGCATTAGACATTTCCAGATGAAAGGCCAGAGTTAGTTCAGATGCAGCAGGTACCGATGAAGACGCATCTCCTACACCTGCAGGATTTCTGTGACTCGAGCATACAGAGGTTTGGATGAATAATCTGCATGTCTCACTCCACTCATGCTGCACTAACATTATAAATCAGCCCACGAGCCCTTGGATTGATTCTCCGTTACTCCAACACAAAATCCATCATTTTCAAACATATTCAGATTTAATGGATTGAATCACTGTGTCATTCTAATGATAGATCTGTAAGACAGCGAGAGAGGCAGTGCATGATGGGAAATATGAGGCCTTGTTCAGCTCAAATTTTTCAGAGCACATTTTTCTGAGCCCTGCAATTGTAGCTTTAAGACTTCTGTGTGTAAATGACTGTGTTATTATTGGCTGACCTCTAAATCTCCAACCTGAGCAGGCTAGACCAAGACTAGAGAGATTGAGATTTTTTCAGCAAACTATTTTTAAACTAACCATTGTTTCCTCTGCTAAGAACACTTCAATAAGCTAAATGAGGAATGGAAAGGTCCCTTTAATGTTAAATGTCCTTCATGGAACCATCAACGCCAATAAAGAGCCTTTACTAAACGAAACTGGTTCCCCAAACACTTCATCCCATCTCAAGAACCCTTTCTTGTTACCATAGATGCCAAAAAAGAACCTGTATTGGACACTTTTGTGTTCTAGTAGCTGTTTTCTGTAGTAGCTGTATAGTAATATACAGTGGTAGTAGTACAGATGTACTTGCTTAAAATTGAGACCACAAGATCAAGCCATTGCACACAGAGTCAGAAATCTTCATCAGTCATAAAAGAATTTAGATCGGGTTCGATTTTCTGCATTTTTCGCATCCGTAGCAAGCATTTTGAGAGGAGTTTTGACAATTCAGAGCCTTATTTCTTATCTTATTCATATTATACATAATATAACTAAACAAATTAATAATTAATTAGGTGAAGCTGTGCGCTTGAACTTGTCATCGCATCATGCAGTGTGGTGAATTATTATTGCTCATTATTGTCTATAGGCTATTTTAGTAATTTAAATAACATAGGTTAATATATTATCTAATACGCTTATATTATCATATCTTAAATATATGAATTAATGACATTGTAGTATAATATTACAGCACCCAAATATGTATTTACATCCATCTAATTCTGGTTGTCAGTGCAGGCTTGTTTCGCTTAATATTGACCGTTATGAAAAGTGATTAGTGGCCTGCAAACAAAAAGCCTTGAACATAAAACAACATGATAAAAACACAGTTGCTGACTAGACATAATCATTTCATGACTCTAGACACTTCTTTGTGAAGCCAGTGGCATAATACAGTGGAATAATATGTTCTTTAGCCGTATAAAAACAGTTGTCATGTGCGTGGGTAAAATGTAGCCGCTGGCGGTTCTAGTGTTAAGAAGCGAGAGGACAACAGAATAATCCTCACTGCTTGAAGACTCCATTTAGTACTGCTTTGCGATTTTTTTCCGCAACGGATTAATTAATACGCATCGGACTCAGTGTGCAAGGTTTCTGTGCGTGACGAATTTTTAGGATGACGAATACGAAAAAACTCACTTAAGACTCGAGCTCTTTAGGCTCTCGTTACACAGCCCTGTCACCAGCATAAAGCCGCACACAAACTCACAATCCTCCCTCACTGGTGGCATCTCAGAGGTCTCTCTCTAACATCAAAACCCTGCTGGAGAAGAACAAACGCTCGCTGTTATCTGAGGACGTGAGGAAGAGAGAACAAAGCCAAGTCAGCAGTCCTCTGCACCGGCGGCGCCTTGTTTTTCAGCTCATTTTTCTCTGAGATTGCTACCTTCACACGCAGATCCATACGCTGCTCTGGCGCTCCGCAGAGATTGCTACCTTCACACGCAGATCCATACGCTGCTCTGGTGCTCCGCTCGGCAATGAAGAGAGCTATATTTCCCCTTGAGTTAGGACACCTCGTGACAAATGATAATGGATAATCAATAAAGCGGGAAATATGAGGCCGCAAACTTTATGAAGCCGGGAGACATATTACTCCCCAACAACACTGGTTTCCCTTAACAAAGTCACTACGCCGCTGCGCCTAATAATCTGAGGGAAAATCAAAGAAGCCGCAACCACATCAGCAATATTGGCAACTTATTCCACTTTAATGGCATTTTGATTGATTTTTCCCTCTTAATGGTACTTTTATAGATTTGATGCTGGTCCTGCAAAACAGCAGTATGTAATAGAGCTCCCCGAAGGCAAGCAACAGCCATTAAAGGCCTTGTCTTACCAGGACTCGTAATTGGAGGTTGACCACCATCGCATTTCACACATCACACAACACCACCTGCTTCAAACGGCCAAACCAGGGCCTTTTCCTCTGAGCGATGGGGTTAAGAAGAGTCGTAAAAAGAGGGTGACCTTGCGGCTGACATTGTGGGTTTTCAGCCAAGCACTGACCTGATGAAAATGGAGGACAGAGAGCTAATAAATCAGGCCGCTTTTAAAATGAGTTTACTCTAACGCTCATTCATCACGGCCCGTAATGCCATTTGCAGCGGCGGATCCGCAGCGAGCAAGCGGCGCAGTAAATAACAACAGAACCGAAGATGCGTACACGTCGTGCATTTATTAAAGATGCCTCCGCACGACACTGTAAACACACCACGAATTTAATGTAATTGTCCCGTGCCGACATAAATTCCGACCGAGGCGTCCTTATCTGAAGGAGGGAAATATTAAAGAGGAAAGACGCCCTCCGCCGGGAGTTATTCAGGAGCAGGGAAGCGCTGTTTACCAAAAACACAGCCCCCTTTAACAACCTCTGATGAAATGATGAATGGGGAAAGCAATGCAACCTCAGCTCGCCATTATCAGATGCCGAAGAAGCCGACAGAAGCTCATTAGAAGGCAGCGCTTGCCGAGGGTCGATCGTCATAAAAAAATAACGGATGACAATCGTTATCGCCCCCGATGCTGATGAGCTCCGGAGTTTGTTTATTAATTAAAAACCCTTCTTCTTATGGTTATAATCTAGACGCCCCCTCCTCCTCGCGAACACCGTCGTACATCAAACTTCATGATGCGCGCGAGAGGCGCTGGCTGATAATGCACCCCTGCTAAAGCTGATTTTCCATGATGAATCTGGGAGCATATAAATTGGCTAATATCTAAAAACATTTACAGATACTAGAGGGATTGACTACTTGCGGGCCGTGATGGATGAGGCTGTTAGACGCCAGAGGACAGCTCTGCAAATCTCTGCGGCTGCCTAAAGCCCTCATTTGCTTTTCATATTTACTTCTTTAAACCCATCCTCCTCTCACACAGAGAAAACAGGAGCAGCGGTGCTCGTGTTTGTTTCCTCCGTCTCTGCTGCGCTGGACAGTATTCTTACACCAATCAATGTAGCTCCTCAGAAACAGTTGTGGTTGCTACAAAGTGGTTGCCGAGCAACACACAGAAGTAAACAAAGGTGTATGTTACTTTGTAGCGTCATTCACAACAGCTTCGAACGCGGCTCAGCCAATCAGAGTCAAGCACCGGAGCTCTCCGCTTTATAATTAACAGTGAAAAAACAATAACCAAAAATAAACAAACTTGGTAACACTTTATTTTGAAAGTCCACTTTAGACATTCTACTAACAGTAAGTAACTTTGCAACTACATGTCAACTAGCAGTCATTAGAGTATTAGTAGACTGTCTGCTTAATATCTGTATTAATACACTTTATTTTGATGCATCCACAACATACTGACTATCAGAAACTTTGCAAGTATGTGTCTACTTATTCTACTAACCCTGACCCTAACCCTAATCTAACAGTCTACTCTGAGTTAGTAGACGTGTAGTTGCAAATTAATGAGAGTTAGTTGACATGTAGTTGCAAAGCTACTTGTAGTTAGTAGAATGTCTAAAGTGGATTATCAAAATAAAGTGTAACCACAAACTTTCCCAGAATCCTCTGTGTGACAACTCACATTTGATGTTTTTTTCCACTGAAATTACTGTTTGTTCTTAGTTGTTGTTTTTTTCTTATCAATTACTATTGGCATTAGGGTTTTAGGTTTCATCTTATGTTGTTAATTGAATGTTTATTGCATAGTGTCATGTGTGTTACTATGATGGTGTTTTGCATTTGTATTCTGCTCTGCATCTTCTAGCTAGTATTTAGCTCAGCTTGTGGGAAGCTACTTGTGATGAACTCATGTGATGAATCTTCTCTTTATCACCTGTTTTTATTGTCAGTGTACGAAAAATTAGTGTACGAATAAGCTTTCCATTGGTGTATGGTTTGTTAGGATAGGACAATATTTGATAATCTGGAATCTGAGGGTGCAAAAATATTGAGAAAATCATCTTTAAAGTTGTCCAAATGAAGTTTTTAGCAATGCATATTACTAATCAAACATTAAGTTTTGATATATTTACGGTAGTTAATTATTTTTTTCTTTACTTAATATCCTAATGATTTTTGGCATAAAAGAGAAATGTATAATTGTGACCCATACAATGTATTGTTGGCTATTGCTACAAATATCCCCCAGCGACTCAACACTGCTTTTGTGCTGCAGGGACACAATTCACAAAATAGATTTTAGTGCTTCCGTAGG